GAAAATGCCTCAACATGAACTCCTGGTGGTCTCTGAGGGTGAAACCTGCTAACTGCTGCAGCTCTCTCAGCTCTAGTCTCCCATGCAGAGCTCGGAGCGCATGTGTGGCTCTGCACCCTTAGCAGCGTTGCTAACTCCTCAGTAAGGAAAGCCTGCTTCATGTCAGAGTCTCTAAACTCCAGAGGAAGTCGATAAAATTCCCTTTCTTTCTAAAAAAAAGTCGTTAGGGGGTCTGAAAAGTCATTGAATCTAACAACAAAGTCGCTAGGTTTGCAACTATGTTTCCCAGACTGCATCCCTGCTGAGAGTTCCTCCCTCCCTTCTCATATTGCAGGAAGAACGTAAGCGCCCGCCCCTTGTCAATCAGTCACCATATAATTTTGGATTGGTTGTTGTGGTGAAGTTTTCCACCAATAGGAGAGATGTTGTGGTGTGTTTTTTTTTCTTTTGGCATGCCTTTTCCGCCTGTAAGAGCTGTCGCTAATGTCTGCATGCTATGTTTTCCTGTCTCATACAGCGTGATCGAGCGCCGAACGTGATCAAAATAAGCAGAAAAAAAGTATCGCGGACATAATTTATCATAACTCTGGTTTTATTTGGCCTATCAACACAATTTAAAAACTGGTATATAGTTTGAGGTCCTCACTTTTGAGATAAGTTGAAACGGAGGGTGAACGAGGCTCCGTCTTGCAGCTACATCCGGTTAAATATGTCATGTGACTTGAACGCTGGGGAGCGTCAATTGACTGCAGAGCCAGCAGACAAAGTAGTTATGCCACTGAGAGGCACACATTTGTCATATGCTATAATCCTAACATATTTTAATGCTTTTTCTATTTAAACCTAATGGATCTAAGGTTTGACCTTCAAAATTTAGGAAGAATATTTTTTTGCAGTAATGACCCCCTTAAACAACCAGAGGTCCTTTCCTAAAGTTTATGGAAATTTTAGTGAAGGACTTGGTTTCTTTCCTTGCAAAATGTATAGAAATAATAAAGCTAAATACCATAAAATGGTCTTGGCGTATTAGCAGTGATATAAAATAGTGGTTTGAATATGAATGAACAACAAAAAAAAACATCAACAGAGCCTTTTTGAGTTGGGATTCTTTTATTATCACACAAAAACAGACATAGACAGACATCTAAAGGGTAAGGGAATGATCAGCCCTCCTAACTCTCAGATGAATCTTCAAAATTCACCGCAGAAATATGCTTATTATTCTTCTCAGAGTACTGCAAGATATATACACACACACAGACACACACACACACACACACACACACACACACACACACACACACACACACACACACACTCAGAGTCTGTTTTTTAGCACCTGCAAAAACATGCTATTTACATATTTGACAAGAATGCAGAGGCTCCTTTTGCCCCTGAAAAAAATCAAATTTCAAACACAACTTGACTGCTCATTTCTCCAAAAGACAACCATGAAGCTCCATCCAAACCTGAAGCAGGCAGTTGGTGCATGTGTACAGTAACCTGAGGGGAGTGAGGTGACTGCTTCTGAGGAGAACATGAGCAGTGAAGATTCACCTTGGAGCTAGAACAGGGACGTGCACATGATTATACAGGGGCAGGGGCTCAAGTTTTTTCCAGTCATTTATACAATATGGAAATTAATGTGAAATTAAAAAACAAAGTATTAATAGAAAGGTAATGACTGTCCTGTGTAGATGACAGTGATATCCAATAGGCTAGGCACTCACGAGGCTGGCTGTGGCAAGTGTAAGTGAAAGCAACACGCACTGGCAGGAAGAACAGCAAACGCCGATGAAGGAAAAGGGTCTTTGCAGTGATGGGCGTTACCAGAGAGGGCGATGGCCAGAGGACACGAATGGGACGGGGAGGCAGCGCGTTGGGGGGGGGCGGCGCGACACGGCTCGGGCCCGCCAGTGCCCCAACGGGGCCCTAGTTATTATTTTTCCTCCGCTTTAAACTGGAAAATGGCCCACTTCCCACTGGCGAAAACTCATGAAATTTGGCAGGACGACCGGGCCTGGTGAAAAATTCGATATTCTGAAGTCGCCCAAACAAGAAAATGCAAAATGGCTCAATAGCGCCCCCAAAGGTGAAAATTCACACTATTGACTGTCACGCCTGTACGCTTTGTCATATTGACACAAAAATTGACACACACATGTATCTCAATAAGATCTACAAAAAAGTCAGTGCGGACGTATCTGTCAAATGTACGGTTAAAGGGTTATTTCGCATTTTTTGCCGATCCGCACACATTGGAATTTCGCTAACTCCTCCGAAGGCTTTCGTTCCACCAGCACTACATTTGCTCAGGCCAATCTACACCCCATGGCCATTGAAAGTTGTACAAATCATGACGCTGCACCCCACGGTTTAGGTTCTAGGGGGCGCCAAAGATAACCCACAAATCCACATTCTTAAAAATCTTATAACTTTTTATTTTTGTCCTCATTGGCCTCCAAGTTTTCTAGGATGATGCAATGTCCAGCCATCAACACATTTGTGAAGGAATTTTTACTCCCCAAAAGAGCGCCCCCCCATGGCAGGAGAAAAAAGTCCATTTTTTCTTGTCCCCTAAGGTGAAAATACACATTGTTGAGTGTCACGCCTGTACGCTTTGTCAAAATGACACAAAAATTGACACACACATGTATCTCAATAAGATGTACGAAAAAGTCAATGCGCGCGTATCTGTAAAATGTACGGTTAAAGGGCTATTTTGCATTTTTTGCCGATTCGCACACATTGGAATGTGGCTAACTCCTCCTAAGGCTTTCGTCCCACTGACACCAAATTTGCTCAGGCCAATCTACACCCCATGGCCATTCAAAGTTGTAAAAATCATGACGCTGCACCCCACGGTTTACGTTCAAGGGGGCGCCAAAGATGACCCAAAAATCCACATTCTTAAAGGAATCCACATCCCCCCCCCAAGGCAGGAGAAAAAGTCAAGTTTACCCTGCCCATCGCTCAATGGTTCAATCGCATCGCTCTCCAGGCAACACCGTAAGGAGGAGCAACCTGCCATTTCGATATATCATAGCTGTGTTTGTGCCCTCACTCATGGTCCAGACTTTTTTCAAATAGGACATGAAGTTTGTCTGCAGCGAGTGTTTTGGTAGAAACTGCGCCTCCCATTCATTATAATGGGAAATGACCACAGACAAGTGCGCACACCATCTTTGGACCTTGAGTGTGACGCGATCGGGAGGGGGAGGCGGTCGCGCTGGGGGCGGCGCGACGCGGCTCGGGCCCGACAGTGCCCCACCGGGGCCCTAGTTATTTTTCTGCCCCTTTGAACTGGAAAATGGCCCACTTCCCACTGGTGAAAACTCATGAAATTTGGCAGGACGACTGGGCCTGGTGAAAAATTCGATATTCTGAAGTCACCCAAACAATCAAATGCAAAATGGCTCCATAGCGCCCCCTAAGGTGAAAAATTCACATGATTGAGTGTCACGCCTGTACGCTTTGTCAAAATGACACAAAATTTGACACACACGTGTATCTCAATAAGATCTACAAAAAAGTCAGTGCGGGCGTATCTGTCAAATGTACGTTTAAAGGGCTATTTCGCATTTTTTGCCGATCCGCACACATTGGAATTTCGCTAACTCCTCCGAAGGCTTTCGTTCCACCGGCACCAAATTTGCTCAGGCCAATCTACACCCCATGGCCATTCAAAGTTGTACAAATCATGACGCTGCACCCCACGGTTTACGTTGTAGGGGGCGCCAAAGATAACCCAAAAATCCACATTCTTACAAGTCTTATAACTTTTTATTTTTGTCCTCACTGGCCTCCAAGTTTTCTAGGATGATGCAATGTCCAGCCATCAACACATTTGTGAAGGAATTTTTACTCCCCAAAAGAGCGCCCCCCCATGGCAGGAGAAAAAAGGCCATTTTTTCTTGTCCTATAAGGTGAAAATACACATTGTTGAGTGTCACGCCTGTACGCTTTGTCATATTGAAACAAAATTTGATAATCACGTGTATCTCAATAAGATCTACGAAAAAGTCAATGCGCACGTGTCTGCAAAATGTACGGTTAAAGGGCTATTTCGCATTTTTGGTTGATTCGCACACATTGGAATGTGGCTAACTCCTCCTAAAGCTTTCGTTCCACCGGCACCAAATTTGCTCAGGCCAATCTACACCCCATGGCCATTCAAAGTTGTACAAATCATGACGCTGCACCCCACGGTTTACGTTGTAGGGGGCGCCAAAGATAACCCAAAAATCCACATTCTTACAAGTCTTAACTTTTTATTTCTGTCCTCACTGGCCTCCAAGTTTTCTAGGATGATGCAATGTCCAGCCATCAACACATTTGTGAAGGAATTTTTACTCGCCAAAAGAGCGCCCCCCATGGCAGGAGAAAAAAGTCCATTTTTTCTTGTCTCCTAAGGCGAAAATTCACACTATTGACTGTCACACCTTTACGCTTTGTCAAAATGACACAAAATTTGACACACACATGTATCTCAATAAGATCTACAAAAAAGTCAGTGCGGGCGTATCTGTCAAATGTACGGTTAAAGGGTTATTTCGCATTTTTTGCCGATCCGCACACATTGGAATTTCGCTAACTCCTCCGAAGGCTTTCGTTCCACCGGCACCACATTTGCTCAGGCCAATCTACACCCCATGGCCATTAAAAGTTGTACAAATCATGATGCTGCACCCCACGGTTTACGTTCTAGGGGGCGCCAAAGATAACCCAAATATCCACAGTCTTAAAAGTCTTATAACTTTTTATTTTTGTCCTCACTGGCCTCCAAGTTCTCTAGGATGATGCAATGTCCAACCATCAACACATTTGTGAAGGAATTTTTACTCGCCAAAAGAGCGCCCCCCATGGCAGGAGAAAAAAGTCCATTTTTTCTTGTCTCCTAAGGCGAAAATACACATTGTTGACTGTCACGCCTTAACGCTTTGTCAAAATGACACAAAATTTGACACACACATGTATCTCAATAAGATCTACGAAAAAGTCAATGCGAGCGTATCTGTTCAATGTACGGTTAAAGGGCTATTTTGCATTTTTTGCCGATTCGCACACATTGGAATGTGGCTAACTCCTCCTAAAGCTTTTGTCCCATCGGCTTCAAATTTGCTCAGGTCAATCTACACCCCATGTCCATTCAAAGTTGTACAAATCATGATGCTGCACCCCACGGTTTACGTTCTAGGGGGCGCCAAAGATAACCCAAAAATCCACAGTCTTAAAAGTCTTATAACTTTTTATTTTTGTCCTCACTGGCCTCCAAGTTCTCTAGGATGATGCAATGTCCAGCCATCAACACATTTGTGAAGGAATTTTTACTCCCCAAAAGAGCGCCCCCCATGGCAGGAGAGAAAAGTCAAGTTTTTCCTGCCCATCGCTCAATGGCTCAAACGCATCGCTCTCTCGGCAAAACCGAAAGGAGGAGCAACTTGCCATTTGGATATATACTAGCTGTGTTTGTGCCCTCACTCATGGTCCAGACTTTTTTCAAAAAGGACATGGAGTTTGTCTGCAGCGAGCATTTTGGTAGAAACTGCGCCTCCCATTCATTATAATGGTAAATGACCACAGACAAGTGCGCACACCATCTTTGGACCTTGAGTGTGACGCAATCGGGAGGGGTAGGCGGTCGCGCTGGGGGTGGCGCGACACGGCTCGGGCCCGCCAGTGCCCCAACGGGGCCCTAGTTATTATTAGGGCCCGAGCGTAGCTGCTAAGCAGCTGCGAGAGCCCTCTTGTTCCTGATGGATTCTTCTTTTGTTATTATTAGGGCCCGAGCGTAGCTGCTAAGCAGCTGCGAGAGCCCTCTTGTTCCTGATGGATTCTTCTTTTGTTATTATTATTATTTTTCCTCCGCTTTAAACTGGAAAATGGCCCACTTCCCACTGGCGAAAACTCATGAAATTTGGCAGGACGACCGGGCCTGGTGAAAAATTCGATATTCTTAAGTCGCCCAAACAATAAAATGCAAAATGGCTCCATAGCGCCCCCTAAGGTGAAAATTCACACTATTGACTGTCATGCCTGTACGCTTTGTCAAAATGACACAAAAATTGACACACACATGTATCTCAATAAGATCTACAAAAAAGTCAGTGCGGGCGTATCTGTCAAATGTACGGTTAAAGGGTTATTTCGCATTTTTTGCAGATCCCCACACATTGGAATTTCGCTAACTCCTCTGAAGACTTTCGTTCCACCAGCACCACATTTGCTCAGGCCAATCTACACCCCATGGCCATTAAAAGTTGTACAAATCATGACGCTGCACCCCACGGTTTAGGTTCTAGGGGGCGCCAAAGATAACCCAAAAATCCACATTCTTTAAAGTCTTATAACTTTTTATTTTTGTCCTCACTGGCCTCCAAGTTCTCTAGGATGATGCAATGTCCAGCCATCAACACATTTGTGAAGGAATTTTTACTCCCCAAAAGAGCGCCCCCCCATGGCAGGAGAAAAAAGTTAATTTTTTCTTGTCCCCTAGGGTGAAAATACACATTGTTCAGTGTCACGCCTGTACGCTTTGTCATATTGACACAAAATTTGACAATCACGTGTATCTCAATAAGATCTACGAAAAAGTCAATGCGCACGTATCTGTAAAATGTACGGTTAAAGGGCTATTTCGCATTTTTTGCCGATTCGCACACATTGGAATGTGGCTAACTCCTCCTAAAGCTTTCGTCCCATCGGCACCAAATTTGCTCAGGCCAATCTACACCCCATGGCCATTCAAAGTTGTACAAATCATGACGCTGCACTCCACGGTTTACGTTCAAGGGGGCGCCAAAGAGGACCCAAATATCCACAATTTCAAAAGTCTTATAACTTTTTGTTTTTGTCCTCACTGGCCTCCAAGTTTTCTAGGATAATGCAATGTTCAGCCATCAACACATTTGTGAAAGAATTTTTTCTCCCCAAACGAGCGCCCCCCATGGCAGGAGAAAAAGTTAAGTTTTTCCTGCCCATCGCCCAATGGCTCAAACGCATCGCTCTCTCGGCAAAACCGAAAGGAGGAGCAACTTGCCATTTGGATATATCGAAGCTGTGTTTGTGCCCTCACTCATGGTCCAGACTTTTTTCAAAAAGGACATGGAGTTTGTCTGCAGCGAGCGTTTTGGTAGAAACTGCGCCTCCCATTCATTATAATGGTAAATGACCACAGACAAGTGCGCACACCATCTTTGGACCTTGATTGTGACTCGACTGGGAGGGGGAGGGGGTCGCGCTGGGGGCAGCACGACACGGCTCGGGCCCGCCAGTGCCCCAGCGGGGCCCTAGTTATTATTATTATTTTTCCTCCGCTTTAAACTGGAAAATGGCCCACTTCCCACTGGCAAAAACTCATGAAATTTGGCAGGACGACCGGGCCTGGTGAAAAATTCGATATTCTGAAGTCACCCAAACAATAAAATGCAAAATGGCTCCATAGCGCCCCCTAAGGTGGAAATTCACACTGTTGACTGTCACGCCTGTACGCTTTGCCATATTGACACAAAAATTGACACACACATGTATCTCAATAAGATCTACAAAAAAGTCAGTGCGGCCGTATCTGTCAAATGTACGGTTAAAGGGTTATTTCGCATTTTTTCCGATCCACACACATTGGAATTTCGCTAACTCCTCCGAAGGCTTTCGTTCCACCGGCACCACATTTGCTCAGGCCAATCTACACCCCGTGGCCATTAAAAGCTATCAAAATCATGACGCTGCACCCCAAGGTTTAGGTTCTAGGGGGCGCCAAAGACAACCCTAAAATCCACATATTTAAAAGTCTTATAACTTTTTATTTTTGTCCTCACTGGCCTCCAAGTTTTCTAGGATGATGCAATGTCCAGCCATCAACACATTTGTGAAGGAATTTTTACTCCCCAAAAGAGCGCCCCCCCATGGCAGGAGAAAAAAGTCAATTTTTTCTTGTCCCCTAAGGTGAAAATACACATTGTTGAGTGTCACGCCTATACGCTTTGTCAAAATGACACAAAAATTGACACACATATGTATCTCAATAAGATCTACAAAAAAGTCAGTGCGGCCGTATCTGTCAAATGTACGGTTAAAGGGTTATTTCGCATTTTTTTCCGATCCACACACATTGGAATTTCGCTAACTGCTCCGAAGGCTTTCGTTCCACCGGCACCACATTTGCTCAGGCCAATCTACACCCCGTGGCCATTAAAAGTTATCAAAATCATGACGCTGCACCCCAAGGTTTAGGTTCTAGGGGGCGCCAAAGATAACACTAAAATCCACATATTTAAAAGTCTTATAACTTTTTATTTTTGTCCTCACTGGCCTCCAAGTTTTCTAGGATGATGCAATGTCCAGCCATCAACACATTTGTGAAGGAATTTTTACTCCCCAAAAGAGCGCCCCCCCCCCATGGCAGGAGAAAAAAGTCCATTTTTTCTTGTCCCCTAAGGTAAAAACACATTGTTGAGTGTCACGCCTATACGCTTTGTCAAAATGACACAAAAATTGACACACACATGTAACTCAATAAGATCTACGAAAAAGTCAATGCGCGCGTATCTGTCAAATGTACGGTTAAAGGGTTATTCCGCATTTTTTGCCAATCCGCACACATTGGAATGTGGCTAACTCCTCCTAAGGCTTTCGTTCCACCGGCACCACATTTGCTCAGGCCAATCTACACCCCATGGCCATTAAAAGTTATTCAAATCATGACGCTGCACCCCACGGTTTAGGTTCTAGGGGGCGCCAAAGACAACCCTAAAATCCACATATTTAAAAGTCTTATAACTTTTTATTTTTGTCCTCACTGGCCTCCAAGTTTTCTAGGATGATGCAATGTCCAGCCATCAACACATTTGTGAAGGAATTTTTACTCCCCAAAAGAGCGCCCCCCCATGGCAGGAGAAAAAAGTCCATTTTTTCTTGTCCCCTAAGGTGAAAATACATATTGTTGAGATTCACGCCTATACGCTTTGTCATATTGACACAAAATTTGACAATCACGTGCCTTGCCTGGTATCATTTTTTTCAGCACAACCTCACCTGTGCGAATTTACAGTTATTTTATCATGTTGACATACTGAATTTACACAATGGACCCAAATTCACACACAAAACATAAAATCTGAGTGGAAAAAAGTAACATTTTTACTGTGAAAACCACAAATATGTGTGATGAACTGTTTTTAAAACTTAAACTTCAAATAAAAATTGTAAACTTCAAAACATATGCAAATTTTTAACAAAGAACATAGTGATTTACCTCTATTTACATCAAAATGCAGGCAATGGCCCAGGCGTTCTTTGTAAAATTATTTACAAAACACTGTATAGTCTCACAAATGTCACTTTTTATTTATGCCACTACAAAAAAACATGATGTAAATGATGCATGATGTAAAACATGATGTAAAAAACTTGTGTAGATCCTCCTCTATGTCAGTCCATGTGTAATTTTTCCATAATTCTTTGTTTTTTGCAGCATTTTTGTTAGTGTAACTGCAGATTGTGCTGACAGTGTCTATGGCAAAAAAAAAAAAAAAAACTGAAAATGCCTCAACATGAACCCCTGGTGGTCTCTGAGGGTGAAACCTGCTAACTGCTGCAGCTCTGTCAGCTTCAGTCTCCCATGCAGAGCTCTGAGCGCATGTGTGGCTCTGCACCCTTAGCAGCGTTGCTAACTCCTCAGTAAGGAAAGCCTGCTTCATGTCAGAGTCTCTAAACTCCAGAAGAAGTGGATAAAAGTCCCTTTCTTTCTAAAAAAAAGTCGTTAGGGGGTCTGAAAAGTCATTGAATCTAACAACAAAGTCGCTAGGTTTGCAACTACGTGTCCCAGACTGCATCCCTGCTGAGAGTCCCTCCCTCGCTTCTCATGTTGCAGGAAGAACGTAAGCGCCCGCCCCTTGTCAATCAGTCACCATATAATTTTGGATTGGTTGTTGTGGTGAAGTTTTCCACCAATAGGAGAGATGTTGTGGTGTGTATTTTTTTTCTTTTGGCAAGCCTTTTCCGCCTGTAAGACCTGTCGCTAATGTCTGCATGCTATGTTTTCCTGTCTCATACAGCGCGATCGAGCGCCGAACGTGATCAAAATAAGCAGAAAAAAAGTATCGCGGACATAATTTATCATAACTCTGGTTTTATTTGGCCTATCAACACAATTTAAAAACTGGTATATAGGTTGAGGTCCTCACTTTTGAGATAAGTTGAAACGGAGAGTCAACGAGGCTCCGTCTTGCAGCTACATCCGGTTAAATATGTCATGTGACTTGAACGCACACACAGACACACACACACGCACACACACACACACACACACACACACACACACACACACACACACACACACACTCAGAGTCTGGTTTTTAGCACCTGCAAAAACATGCTATTTACATATTTGACAAGAATGCAGAGGCTCCTTTTACCCCTGAAAAAAATCAAATTTCAAACACAACTTGACTGGTCATTTCTCCAAAAGACAACCATGAAGCTCCATCCAAACCTGAAGCAGGCAGTTGGTGCATGTGTACAGTAACCTGAGGGGAGTGAGGTGACTGCTTCTGAGGAGAACATGACCAGTGAAGATTCACCTTGGAGCTAGAACAGAGACATGCACATGATTATACAGGGGCAGGGGCTCAAGTTTTTTCCAGTCGTTTATACAATATGGAAATTAATGTGAAATTAAAACACAAAGTATTAATAGAAAGGTAATGACTGTCCTGTGTAGGTGACAGTGATATCCAATAGGCTAGGCACTCACGAGGCTGGCTGTGGCAAGTGTAAGTGAAAGCAACACGCACTGGCAGGAAGAACAGCAAACGCCGATGAAGGAAAAGGGTCTTTGCAGTGATGGGCGTTACCAGAGAGGGCGATGGCCAGAGGACACAAATGGGACGGGGAGGCAGCACGTTGCGGGGGGGACGCGACACGGCTCGGGCCCGCCAGTGCCCCAACGGGGTCCTAGTTAGGGCCCGAGCCAGCTGCAGAGCAGCCGGGCGTAGGCCCTATTATTCCCCAAGTGGTTTTTCTTTGTTTCTTTCTTTCTTTTTTAGGGCCCGAGCGTAGCTGCTAAGCAGCTGCGAGAGCCCTATTATTCCCCAAGTGGTTTTTCTTTGTTTCTTTCTTTCTTTCTTTCTTTCTTTCTTTCTTCTTTTTCCTCCCCTTTGAACTGGAAAATGGCCCACTTCCCACTGGCGAAAACTCATGAAATTTGGCAGGACGACCGGGCCTGGTGAAAAATTCGATATTCTGAAGTCGCCCAAACAATAAAATGCAAAATGGCTCCATAGCGCCTCCTAAGGTGGAAATTCACACTATTGACTGTCACGCCTGTACGCTTTGTCATATTGACACAAAAATTGACACACATATGTATCTCAATAAGATCTACAAAAAAGTCAGTGCGGCCGTATCTGTCAAATGTACGGTTAAAGGGTTATTTCGCATTTTTTCCGATCCACACACATTGGAATTTCGCTAACTCCTCCGAAGGCTTTCGTTCCACCGGCACCACATTTGCTCAGGCCAATCTACACCCCGTGGCCATTAAAAGCTATCAAAATCATGACGCTGCACCCCAAGGTTTAGGTTCTAGGGGGCGCCAAAGATAACACTAAAATCCACATATTTAAAAGTCTTATAACTTTTTATTTTTGTCCTCACTGGCCTCCAAGTTTTCTAGGATGATGCAATGTCCAGCCATCAACACATTTGTGAAGGAATTTTTACTCCCCAAAAGAGCGCCCCCCCATGGCAGGAGAAAAAAGTCCATTTTTTCTTGTCCCCTAAGGTGAAAATACACATTGTTGAGTGTCACGCCTATACGCTTTGTCAAAATGACACAAAAATTGACACACACATGTATCTCAATAAGATCTACGAAAAAGTCAATGCGCGCGTATCTGTCAAATGTACGGTTAAAGGGTTATTCCGCATTTTTTGCCGATCCGCACACATTGGAATGTGGCTAACTCCTCCTAAGGCTTTCGTTCCACCGGCACCACATTTGCTCAGGCCAATCTACACCCCATGGCCATTAAAAGTTATTCAAATCATGACGCTGCACCCCACGGTTTAGGTTCTAGGGGGCGCCAAAGACAACCCTAAAATCCACATATTTAAAAGTCTTATAACTTTTTATTTTTGTCCTCACTGGCCTCCAAGTTTTCTAGGATGATGCAATGTCCAGCCATCAACACATTTGTGAAGGAATTTTTACTCCCCAAAAGAGCGCCCCCCCATGGCAGGAGAAAAAAGTCAATTTTTTCTTGTCCCCTAAGGTGAAAATACACATTGTTGAGTGTCACGCCTATACGCTTTGTCAAAATGACACAAAAATTGACACACATATGTATCTCAATAAGATCTACAAAAAAGTCAGTGCGGCCGTATCTGTCAAATGTACGGTTAAAGGGTTATTTCGCATTTTTTTCCGATCCACACACATTGGAATTTCGCTAACTGCTCCGAAGGCTTTCGTTCCACCGGCACCACATTTGCTCAGGCCAATCTACACCCCGTGGCCATTAAAAGTTATCAAAATCATGACGCTGCACCCCAAGGTTTAGGTTCTAGGGGGCGCCAAAGATAACACTAAAATCCACATATTTAAAAGTCTTATAACTTTTTATTTTTGTCCTCACTGGCCTCCAAGTTTTCTAGGATGATGCAATGTCCAGCCATCAACACATTTGTGAAGGAATTTTTACTCCCCAAAAGAGCGCCCCCCCCCCATGGCAGGAGAAAAAAGTCCATTTTTTCTTGTCCCCTAAGGTAAAAACACATTGTTGAGTGTCACGCCTATACGCTTTGTCAAAATGACACAAAAATTGACACACACATGTAACTCAATAAGATCTACGAAAAAGTCAATGCGCGCGTATCTGTCAAATGTACGGTTAAAGGGTTATTCCGCATTTTTTGCCAATCCGCACACATTGGAATGTGGCTAACTCCTCCTAAGGCTTTCGTTCCACCGGCACCACATTTGCTCAGGCCAATCTACACCCCATGGCCATTAAAAGTTATTCAAATCATGACGCTGCACCCCACGGTTTAGGTTCTAGGGGGCGCCAAAGACAACCCTAAAATCCACATATTTAAAAGTCTTATAACTTTTTATTTTTGTCCTCACTGGCCTCCAAGTTTTCTAGGATGATGCAATGTCCAGCCATCAACACATTTGTGAAGGAATTTTTACTCCCCAAAAGAGCGCCCCCCCATGGCAGGAGAAAAAAGTCCATTTTTTCTTGTCCCCTAAGGTGAAAATACATAGTGTTGAGATTCACGCCTATACGCTTTGTCATATTGACACAAAATTTGACAATCACGTGCCTTGCCTGGTATCATTTTTTTCAGCACAACCTCACCTGTGCGAATTTACAGTTATTTTATCATGTTGACATACTGAATTTACACAATGGACCCAAATTCACACACAAAACATAAAATCCGAGTGGAAAAAAGTAACATTTTTACTGTGAAAACCACAAATATGTGTGATGAACTGTTTTTAAAACTTAAACTTCAAATAAAAATTGTAAACTTCAAAACATATGCAAATTTTTAACAAAGAACATAGTGATTTACCTCTATTTACATCAAAATGCAGGCAATGGCCCAGGCGTTCTTTGTAAAATTATTTACAAAACACTGTATAGTCTCACAAATGTCACTTTTTATTTATGCCACTACAAAAAAACATGATGTAAATGATGCATGATGTAAAACATGATGTAAAAAACTTGTGTAGATCCTCCTCTATGTCAGTCCATGTGTAATTTTTCCATAATTCTTTGTTTTTTGCAGCATTTTTGTTAGTGTAACTGCAGATTGTGCTGACAGTGTCTATGGCACAAAAAAAAAAAAAATTAAAATGCCTCAACATGAACCCCTGGTGGTCTCTGAGGGTGAAACCTGCTAACTGCTGCAGCTCTGTCAGCTTCAGTCTCCCATGCAGAGCTCTGAGCGCATGTGTGGCTCTGCACCCTTAGCAGCGTTGCTAACTCCTCAGTAAGGAAAGCCTGCTTCATGTCAGAGTCTCTAAACTCCAGAAGAAGTCGATAAAAGTCCCTTTCTTTCTAGAAAAAAGTCGTTAGGGGGTCTGAAAAGTCATTGAATCTAACAACAAAGTCGCTAGGTTTGCAACTACGTGTCCCAGACTGCATCCCTGCTGAGAGTCCCTCCCTCCCTTCTCATGTTGCAGGAAGAACGTAAGCGCCCGCCCCTTGTCAATCAGTCACCATATAATTTTGGATTGGTTGTTGTGGTGAAGTTTTCCACCAATAGGAGAGATGTTGTGGTGTGTTTTTTTTTCTTTTGGCAAGCCTTTTCCGCCTGTAAGACCTGTCGCTAATGTCTGCATGCTATGTTTTCCTGTCTCATACAGCGCGATCGAGCGCCGAACGTGATCAAAATAAGCAGAAAAAAAGTATCGCGGACATAATTTATCATAACTCTGGTTTTATTTGGCCTATCAACACAATTTAAAAACTGGTATATAGGTTGAGGTCCTCACTTTTGAGATAAGTTGAAACGGAGAGTCAACGAGGCTCCGTCTTGCAGCTACATCCGGTTAAATATGTCATGTGACTTGAACGCACACACAGACACACACACACGCACACACACACACACACACACACACACACACACACTCAGAGTCTGGTTTTTAGCACCTGCAAAAACATGCTATTTACATATTTGACAAGAATGCAGAGGCTCCTTTTGCCCCTGAAAAAAATCAAATTTCAAACACAACTTGACTGGTCATTTCTCCAAAAGACAACCATGAAGCTCCATCCAAACCTGAAGCAGGCAGTTGGTGCATGTGTACAGTAACCTGAGGGGAGTGAGGTGAGTGCTTCTGAGGAGAACATGAGCAGTGAAGATTCACCTTGGAGCTCGAACAGAGACATGCACATGATTATACAGGGGCAGGGGCTCAAGTTTTTTCCAGTCGTTTATACAATATGGAAATTAATGTGAAATTAAAACACAAAGTATTAATAGAAAGGTAATGACTGTCCTGTGTAGGTGACAGTGATATCCAATAGGCTAGGCACTCACGAGGCTGGCTGTGGCAAGTGTAAGTGAAAGCAACACGCACTGGCAGGAAGAACAGCAAACGCCGATGAAGGAAAAGGGTCTTTGCAGTGATGGGCGTTACCAGAGAGGGCGATGGCCAGAGGACACAAATGGGACGGGGAGGCAGCACGTTGGGGGGGGGCGACACGGCTCGGGCCCGCCAGTGCCCCAACGGGGTCCTAGTTAGGGCCCGAGCGTAGCTGCTAAGCAGCTGCGAGAGCCCTATTATTCCCCAAGGGGTTTTTCTTTGTTTCTTTTTAGGGCCCGAGCGTAGCTGCTAAGCAGCTGCGAGAGCCCTATTATTCCCCAAGGGGTTTTTCTTTGTTTCTTTTTTCTTTTTCCTCCCCTTTGAACTGGAAAATGGCCCACTTCCCACTGGCGAAAACTCATGAAATTTGGCAGGACGACCGGGCCTGGTGAAAAATTTGATATTCCAAAGTCGCCCAAACAAGAAAATGCAAAATGGCTCCATAGCGCCCCCTAAGGTGAAAATTCACACTATTGACTGTCACGCCTGTACGCTTTGTCAAAATGACACAAAAATTGACACACACATGTATCTCAATAAGATCTACAAAAAAGTCAGTGCGGGCGTATCTGTCAAATGTACGGTTAAAGGGTTATTTCGCATTTTTTGCCGATCCGCACACATTGGAATTTCGCTAACTCCTCCGAAGGCTTTCGTTCCACCGGCACCACATTTGCTCAGGCCAATCTACACCCCATGGCCATTAAAAGTTATTCAAATCATGACGCTGCACCCCACGGTTTAGGTTCTAGGGGGCGCCAAAGAAAACCCTAAAATCCACATATTTAAAAGTCTTATAACTTTTTATTTTTGCCCTCACTGGCCTCCAAGTTTTCTAGGATGATGCAATGTCCAGCCATCAACACATTTGTGAAGGAATTTTTACTCCCCAAAAGAGCGCCCCCCCATGGCAGGAGAAAAAAGTCCAGTTTTTCTTGTCCCCTAAGGTGAAAATACACATTGTTGAGTGTCACGCCTGTACGCTTTGTCAAAATGACACAAAAATTGACACACACATGTATCTCAATAAGATCTACAAAAAAGTCCATGTGCGCGTATCTGTCAAATGTACGGTTAAAGGGTTATTCCGCATTTTTTGCCGATTCGCACACATTGGAATTTCGCTAACTCCTCCGAAGGCTTTCGTTCCACTGGCACCACATTTGCTCAGGCCAATCTACACCCCATGGCCATTAAAAGTTATTCAAATCATGACGCTGCACCCCACGGTTTACGTTCTAGGGGGCGCCAAAGATAACCCAAAAATCCACATTTTTAAAAGTCTTATAACTTTTTATTTTTGTCCTCACTGGCCTCCAAGTTTTCTAGGATGATGCAATGTCCAGCCATCAACACATTTGTGAAGGAATTTTTACTCCCTAAAAGAGCGCCCCCCCATGGCAGGAGAAAAAAGTCCATTTTTTCTTGTCCCCTAAGGTGAAAATACACATTGTTGACTGTAACACCTGTACGCTTTGGCAAAATGACACAAAAATTGAAAATCATGTGTATCTCAATTGGATCTACGAAAAAGTCAAAGAGCGCGTATCTGTATAATGTACGGTAAAAGGCCTATTTTGCATTTTTTGCCGATTCGCACACATTGGAATTTCGCTAACTCCTCCGAAGGCTTTTGTCCCACTGACACCAAATTTGCTCAGGCCAATCTACACTCCATGGCCATTCAAAGTTGTAAAAATCATGACGCTGCACCCCACGGTTTACGTTTTAGGGGGCGCCAAAGATGACCCAAATATACATTACAGTAGACAAAGTAGTTTTGCCCACTGAGTGGCGCCAAAGGGACTTGTCTGTGGAGTCTGTGAGTCACTATTGGCCGTTTTTGACTACTTTAGATTTTACCTTTATATTTCCTCTTACAAAATTTTTACCTTGCCTTGCCTGGTATCATTTTTTTCAGCACAACCTCACCTGTGTCAATTTACAGTTATTTTATCATTTTGACATACTATATTTACACATTGGACCCAAATTCACACACAAAACATAAAATCCGAGTGGAAAAAAGTAACGTTTTTACTGTGAAAACCACAAATATGTGTGATGAACTGTTTTTAAAACTTAAACTTCAAATAAAAATTGTAAACTTCAAAACATATGCAAATTTTTAACAAAGAACATAGTAATTTACCTCTATTGACATCAAAATGCAGGCAATGGCCCAGGTGTTCTTTGTAAAATTATTTACAAAACACTGTATAGTCTCACAAATGTCACTTTTTATTTATGCCACTACAAAAAAACATGATGTAAATGATGCATGATGTAAAACATGATGTAAAAAACTTGTGTAGATCCTCCTCTATGTCAGTCCATGTGTAATTTTTCCATAATTCTTTGTTTTTTGCAGCATTTTTGTTAGTGTAACTGCAGATTGTGCTGACAGTGTCTATGGCACAAAAAAAAAAAAAAAACTGAAAATGCCTCAACATGAACCCCTGGTGGTCTCTGAGGGTGAAACCTGCTAACTGCTGCAGCTCTGTCAGCTTCAGTCTCCCATGCAGAGCTCTGAGCGCATGTGTGGCTCTGCACCCTTAGCAGCGTTGCTAACTCCTCAGTAAGGAAAGCCTGCTTCATGTCAGAGTCTCTAAACTCCAGAAGAAGTCGATAAAAGTCCCTTTCTTTCTAAAAAAAAGTCGTTAGGGGGTCTGAAAAGTCATTGAATCTAACAACAAAGTCGCTAGGTTTGCAACTACGTGTCCCAGACTGCATCCCTGCTGAGAGTCCCTCCCTCCCTTCTCATGTTGCAGGAAGAACGTAAGCGCCCTCCCCTTGTCAATCAGTCACCATATAATTTTGGATTGGTTGTTGTGGTAGAAGTTTTCCACCAATAGGAGAGATGTTGTGGTGTGTTTTTTTTTTCTTTTGGCAAGCCTTTTCCGCCTGTAAGACCTGTCGCTAATGTCTGCATGCTATGTTTTCCTGTCTCATACAGCGCGATCGAGCGCCGAACGTGATCAAAATAAGCAGAAAAAAAGTATCGCGGACATAATTTATCATAACTCTGGTTTTATTTGGCCTATCAACACAATTTAAAAACTGGTATATAGGTTGAGGTCCTCACTTTTGAGATAAGTTGAAACGGAGAGTCAACGAGGCTCTGTCTTGCAGCTACATCCGGTTAAATATGTCATGTGACTTGAACGCACACACAGACACACACACACACACACACACACACACACACACACACACACACACACACACACACACACACACACTCAGAGTCTGGTTTTTAGCACCTGCAAAAACATGCTATTTACATATTTGACAAGAATGCAGAGGCTCCTTTTGCCCCTGAAAAAAATCAAATTTCAAACACAACTTGACTGGTCATTTCTCCAAAAGACAACCATGAAGCTCCATCCAAACCTGAAGCAGGCAGTTGGTGCATGTGTACAGTAACCTGAGGGGAGTGAGGTGAGTGCTTCTGAGGAGAACATGAGCAGTGAAGATTCACCTTGGAGCTAGAACAGAGACATGCACATGATTATACAGGGGCAGGGGCTCAAGTTTTTTCCAGTCGTTTATACAATATGGAAATTAATGTGAAATTAAAACACAAAGTATTAATAGAAAGGTAATGACTGTCCTGTGTAGGTGACAGTGATATCGAATAGGCTAGGCACTCACGAGGATGGCTGTGGCAAGTGTAAGTGAAAGCAACACGCACTGGCAGGAAGAACAGCAAACGCCGATGAAGGAAAAGGGTCTTTGCAGTGATGGGCGTTACAAGAGAGGGCGATGGCCAGAGGACACAAATGGGACGGGGAGGCAGCACGTTGGGGGAGGGGGGGGGGGGGGCGACACGGCTCGGGCCCGCCAGTGCCCCAACGGGGTCCTAGTTTCTTTTTCCTCCCCTTTGAACTGGAAAATGGCCCACTTCCCACTGGCGAAAACTCATGAAATTTGGCAGGACGACCGGGCCTGGTGAAAAATTTGATATTCCGAAGTCGCCCAAACAAGAAAATGCAAAATGGCTCCATAGCGCCCCCTAAGGTGAAAATTCACACTATTGAGTGTCACGCCTGTACGCTTTGTCAAAATGACACAAAATTTGACACACACATGTATCTCAATAAGATCTACAAAAAAGTCAGTGCGGGCGTATCTGTCAAATGTACGGTTAAAGGGTTATTTCGCATTTTTTGCCGATCCGCACACATTGGAATTTCGCTAACTCCTTTGAAGGCTTTCGTTCCACCGGCACCACATTTGCTCAGGCCAATCTACACCCCATGGCCATTAAAAGTTATTCAAATCATGACGCTGCACCCCACGGTTTAGGTTCTAGGGGGCGCCAAAGATAACCCTAAAATCCACATATTTAAAAGTCTTATAACTTTTTATTTTTGCCCTCACTGGCCTCCAAGTTTTCTAGGATGATGCAATGTCCAGCCATCAACACATTTGTGAAGGAATTTTTACTCCCCAAAAGAGCGCCCCCCCATGGCAGGAGAAAAAAGTCAATTTTTTCTTGTCCCCTAAGGTGAAAATACACATTGTTGAGTGTCACGCCTGTACGCTTTGTCAAAATGACACAAAAATTGACACACACATGTATCTCAATAAGATCTACAAAAAAGTCCATGCGCGCGTATCTGTCAAATGTACGGTTAAAGGGTTATTCCGCATTTTTTGCCGATTCGCACACATTGGAATTTCGCTAACTCCTCCGAAGGCTTTCGTTCCACCGGCACCACATTTGCTCAGGCCAATCTACACCCCATGGCCATTAAAAGTTGTACAAATCATGACGCTGCACCCCACGGTTTACGTTCTAGGGGGCGCCAAAGATAACCCAAATATCCACAGTCTTAAAAGTCTTATAACTTTTTATTTTTGTCCTCACTGGCCTCCAAGTTCTCTAGGATGATGCAATGTCCAGCCATCAACACATTTGTGAAGGAATTTTTACTCGCCAAAAGAGCGCCCCCCCATGGCAGGAGAAAAAAGTCCATTTTTTCTTGTCTCCTAAGGCGAAAATACACATTGTTGACTGTCACGCCTTAACGCTTTGTCAAAATGACACAAAATTTGACACACACATGTATCTCAATAAGATCTACGAAAAAGTCAATGCGAGCGTATCTGTTCAATGTACGGTTAAAGGGCTATTTTGCATTTTTTGCCCATTCGCACACATTGGAATGTGGCTAACTCCTCCTAAAGCTTTTGTCCCATCGGCTTCAAATTTGCTCAGGTCAATCTACACCCCATGTCCATTCAAAGTTGTACAAATCATGACGCTGCACCCCACGGTTTACGTTCTAGGGGGCGCCAAAGATAACCCAAAAATCCACAGTCTTAAAAGTCTTATAACTTTTTATTTTTGTCCTCACTGGCCTCCAAGTTCTCTAGGATGATGCAATGTCCAGCCATCAACACATTTGTGAAGGAATTTTTACTCCCCAAAAGAGCGCCCCCCATGGCAGGAGAAAAAGTCAAGTTTTTCCTGCCCATCGCTCAATGGCTCAAACGCATCGCTCTCTCGGCAAAACCGAAAGGAGGAGCAACTTGCCATTTGGATATATACTAGCTGTGTTTGTGCCCTCACTCATGGTCCAGACTTTTTTCAAAAAGGACATGGAGTTTGTCTGCAGCGAGCATTTTGGTAGAAACTGCGCCTCCCATTCATTATAATGGTAAATGACCACAGACAAGTGCGCACACCATCTTTGGACCTTGAGTGTGACGCAATCGGGAGGGGTAGGCGGTCGCGCTGGGGGTGGCGCGACACGGCTCGGGCCCGCCAGTGCCCCAACGGGGCCCTAGTTATTATTAGGGCCCGAGCGTAGCTGCTAAGCAGCTGCGAGAGCCCTCTTGTTCCTGATGGATTCTTCTTTTGTTATTATCATTATTATTATTTTTCCTCCGCTTTAAACTGGAAAATGGCCCACTTCCCACTGGCAAAAACTCATGAAATTTGGCAGGACGACCGGGCCTGGTGAAAAATTCGATATTCTGAAGTCACCCAAAGAATAAAATGCAAAATGGCTCCATAGCGCCCCCTAAGGTGGAAATTCACACTGTTGACTGTCACGCCTGTACGCTTTGCCATATTGACACAAAAATTGACACACACATGTATCTCAATAAGATCTACAAAAAAGTCAGTGCGGGCGTATCTGTCAAATGTACGGTTAAAGGGTTATTTCGCATTTTTTGCCGATCCGCACACATTGAAATTTCGCTAACTCCTCCGAAGGCTTTCGTTCCACCGGCACCACATTTGCTCAGGCCAATCTACACCCCATGGCCATCGAAAGTTGTACAAATCATGACGCTGCACCCTACGGTTTAGGTTCTAGGTGGCGCCAAAGATAACCAAAAAATCCACATTCTTAAAAGTCTTATAACTTTTTATTTTTTTCCTCACTGGCCTCCAAGTTCTCTAGGATGATGCAATGTCCAGCCATCAACACATTTGTGAAGGAATTTTTACTCCCCAAAAGAGCGCCCCCACATGGCAGGAGAAAAAAGTCCATTTTTTCTTGTCCCCTAAGGTGAAAATACACATTGTTGACTGTCACGCCTATACGCTTTGTCAAAATGACACAAAATTTGACACACACGTGTATCTCAATAAGATCTACGAAAGAGTCGATGGGCACGTATCTGTAAAATGTACGGTTAGAGGGTTATTTCGCATTTTTTGCAGATCTGCACACATTGGAATTTCGCTAACTCCTCCTTAGGCTTTCGTCCCAACGACACCAAATTTGCTCAAGCCGATCTACATCCCATGGCCATTCAAAGTTGTAAAAATCATGACGCTGCACCCCACGGTATAGGTTCTAGGGGGCGCCAAAGATGACCCAAATATCCACATTCTTAAAAGAATCCACCCCCCCCCCCCCCAAGGCAGGAGAAAAAGTCAAGTTAACCCTGCCCATCGCTCAATGGCTCAATCGCATCGCTCTCCCGGCAACACCGTAAGGAGGAGCAACTTGCCATTTGGACATATCCTAGCTGTGTTTGTGCCCTCACTCGTGGTCCAGACTTTTTTCAAATAGGACATGTAGTTTGTCTGCAGCCAGCGTTTTGGTAGAAACTGCGCCTCCCATTCATTATAATGGGAAATGACCACAGACAAGTGCCCACACCATCTTTGGACCTTGAGTGTGACGCGATCGGGAGGGGGAGGCGTCGCGCTGGGGGCGGCGCGACGCGGCTCGGGCCCGACAGTGCCCCACCGGGGCCCTAGTTAGGGCCCGAGCGTAGCTGCTAAGCAGCTGCGAGAGCCCTCTTGTTCCTGATGGATTCTTCTTTCGTTATTTTTCCTCCGCTTTAAACTGGAAAATGGCCCACTTCCCACTGACGAAAACTCAGGAAATTTGGCAGGACGACCGGGCCTGGTGAAAAATTTGATATTCTGAAGTCGCTCAAACAAAAAAATGAAAAATGGCTCCATAGCGCCCCCTATGGTGAAAACTCACCTGACACCTGTACGCTTTGTCAAAATGACACAAAATTTGACACACATGTGTATCTCAATAAGATCTACAAAAAAGTCAGTGTGGGCGTATCTGTCAAATGTACGGTTAAAGGGCTATTTCGCTTTTTTTGCCGATCCGCACACATAGGAATTTCGCTAACTCCTCCGAAGGCTTTCGTTCCACCGGCACCAAATTTGCTCAGGCCAATCTACACCCCATGACCATTAAAAGTTGTACAAATCATGACGCTGCACCCCACGGTTTAGGTTCTAGGGGGCGCCAAAGATAACCCAAAAATCCACATTCTTAAAAGTCTTATAACTTTTTATTTTTGTCCTCACTGGCCTCCAAGTTTTCTAGGATGATGCAATGTCCAGCCATCAACACATTTGTGAAGGAATTTTAACTCTCCAAAAGAGCGCCCCCCCATGGCAGGAGAAAAAAGTCCATTTTTTCTTATCCCGAAAGGTGAAAATACACGTTGTTGACTGTCACGCCTTTACGCTTTGTCATATTGACAAAAAATTTGACAATCACATGTATCTCAATAAGATCTATGAAAAAGTCAATGGGCACGTAAGTGTAAAATGTACGGTTAAAGGGCTATTTTGCATTTTTTGCCGATTCGCACACATTGGAATTTCGCTAACTCCTCCTAAGGCTTTCGTCCCACTGACACCAAATTTGCTCAGGCCAATCTACACTCCATGGCCATTCAAAGTTGTAAAAATCATGACGCTGCACCCCACGGTTTACGTTTTAGGGGGCGCCAAAGATGACCCAAATATACATTACAGCAGACAAAGTAGTTTTGCCCACTGAGTGGCGCCAAAGGGACTAGTCTGTGGAGTCTGTGAGTCACTATTGGCCTTTTTTGACTACTTTAGATTTTACCTTTATATTTCCTCTTAAAATTTTTTTACCTTGCCTTGCCTGGTATCATTTTTTTCAGCACAACCTCACCTGTGTGAATTTACAGTTATTTTATCATTTTGACATACTGTATTTACACAATGGACCCAAATTCACACACAAAACATAAAATCCGAGTGGAAAAAAGTAACATTTTTACTGTGAAAACCACAAATATGTGTGATGAACTGTTTTTAAAACTTAAACTTCAAATAAAAATTGTAAACTTCAAAACATATGCAAATTTTTAACAAAGAACATAGTAATTTACCTCTATTTACATCAAAATGCAGGCAATGGCCCAGGCGTTCTTTGTAAAATTATTTACAAAACACTGTATAGTCTCACAAATGTCACTTTTTATTTATGCCACTACAAAAAAACATGATGTAAATGATGCATGATGTAAAACATGATGTAAAAAACTTGTGTAGATCCTCCTCTATGTCAGTCCATGTGTAATTTTTCCATAATTCTTTGTTTTTTGCAGCTTTTTTGTTAGTGTAACTGCAGATTGTGCTGACAGTGTCTATGGCAAAAAAAAAAAAAAAAAACTGAAAATGCCTCAACATGAACCCCTGGTGGTCTCTGAGGGTGAAACCTGCTAACTGCTGCAGCTCTGTCAGCTTCAGTCTCCCATGCAGAGCTCGGAGCTCATGTGTGTCTCTGCACCCTTAGCAGCGTTGCTAACTCCTCAGTAAGGAAAGCCTGCTTCATGTCAGAGTTTCTAAACTCCAGAAGAAGTCGATAAAAGTCCCTTTCTTTCTAAAAAAAAAGTCGTTAGGGGGTCTGAAAAGTCATTGAATCTACAACAAAGTCGCTAGGTTTGCAACTACGTGTCCCAGACTGCATCCCTGCTGAGAGTCCCTCCCTCCCTTCTCATATTGCAGGAAGAACGTAAGCGCCCGCCCCTTGTCAATCAGTCACCATATAATTTTGGATTGGTTGTTGTGGTGAAGTTTTCCACCAATAGGAGAGATGTTGTGGTGTGTATTTTTTTTCCTTTGGCAAGCCTTTTCCGCCTGTAAGACCTGTCGCTAATGTCTGCATGCTATGTTTTCCTGTCTCATACAGCGCGATCGAGCGCCGAACGTGATCAAAATAAGCAGAAAACAAGTATCGCGGACATAATTTATCATAACTCTGGTTTTATTTGGCCTATCAACACAATTTAAAAACTGGTATATAGGTTGAGGTCCTCACTTTTGAGATAAATTGAAACGGAGAGTCAACGAGGCTCCGTCTTGCAGCTACATCCGGTTAAATATGTCATGTGACTTGAACGCGCACACACACACACACACACACACACACAGACACACACACACACGCACACACACACACTCAGAGTCTGGTTTGTAGCACCTGCAAAAACATGCTATTTACATATTTGACAAGAATGCAGAGGCTCCTTTTGCCCCTGAAAAAAATCAAATTTCAAACACAACTTGACTGGTCATTTCTCCAAAAGACAACCATGAAGCTCCATCCAAACCTGAAGCAGGCAGTTGGTGCATGTGTACAGTAACCTGAGGGGAGTGAGGTGACTGCTTCTGAGGAGAACATGAGCAGTGAAGATTTACCTTAGAGCTAGAACAGAGACGTGCACATGATTATACAGGGGCAGGGGCTCAAGTTTTTTCCAGTCGTTTATACAATTTGGAAATTAATGTGAAATTAAAACACAAAGTATTAATAGAAAGGTAATGACTGTCCTGTGTAGGTGACAGTGATATCCAATAGGCTAGGCACTCACGAGGCTGGCTGTGGCAAGTGTAAGTGAAAGCAACACGCACTGGCAGGAAGAACAGCAAACGCCGATGAAGGAAAAGGGTCTTTGCAGTGATGGGCGTTACCAAAGAGGGCGATGGCCAGAGGACACAAATGGGACGGGGAGGCAGCGCGTTGGGGGGGGGACGTGACACAGCTTGGGCCCGCCAGTGCCCCAACGGGGTCCTAGTTATTAGGGCCCGAGCGTAGCTGCTAAGCAGCTGCGAGAGCCCTCTTGTTCCTGATGGATTCTTCTTTTGTTATTATTATTATTTTTCCTCCGCTTTAAACTGGAAAATGGCCCACTTCCCACTGGCGAAAACTCATGAAATTTGGCAGGACGACCGGGCCTGGTGAAAAATTCGATATTCTGAAGTCACCCAAACAATAAAATGCAAAATGGCTCCATAGCGCCCCCTAAGGTGAAAATTCACACTATTGACTGTCACGCCTGTACGCTTTGTCATATTGACACAAAAATTGACACACACATGTATCTCAATAAGATCTACAAAAAAGTCAGTGCGGGCGTATCTGTCAAATGTACGGTTAAAGGGTTATTTCGCATTTTTTGCCGATCCGCACACATTGGAATTTCGCTAACTCCTCCGAAGGCTTTCGTTCCACCGGCACCACATTTGCTAAGGCCAATCTACACTCCATGGCCATTCAAAGTTGTACAAATCATGACGCTGCACCCCATGGTTTAGGTTCTAGGGGGCGCCAAAAATAACCCAAAAATCCACATTCTTAAAAGTTTTATAACTTTTTATTTTTGTCCTCACTGGCCTCCAAGTTTTCTAGGATGATGCAATGTCCAGCCATCAACACATTTGTGAAGGAATTTTTACTCCCCAAAAGAGCGCCCCCCCATGGCAGGACAAAAAAGTCAATTTTTTCTTGTCCCCTAAGGTGAAAATACACATTGTTGAGATTCACGCCTGTACGCTTTGTCATATTGACAAAAAAATTGACACACACGTGTATCTCAATAAGATCTACGAAAAAGTCAATGCGCGCGTATCTGTAAAATGTACGGCTAAACGGCTATTTTGCATTTTTTGCCGATTCGCACACATTGGAATGTGGCTAACTCCTCCTAAGGCTTTCGTCCCACTGACACCAAATTTGCTCAGGCCAATCTACACCCCATGGCCATTCAAAGTTGTAAAAACCATGCCGCTGCACCCCATGGTTTACGTTCTAGGGGGCGCCAAAGATGACCCAAATATCCACATTCTTAAAAGTCGTTTTGGCCACTGCAGGAGTACAGAGTACTGCAGGATACACACACACAGACACACACACACACAGACACACACACACACGCACACACACACACACACACACACACACACACACACACACACACACACACACACATACACACTCAGAGTCTGTTTTTCAGCACCTGCAAAAACATGCTATTTACATATTTGACAACAATGCAGAGACTTCCTTTTGCCCCTGAAAAAAATCAAATTTCAAACACAACTTGACTGCTCATTTCTCCAAAAGACAACCATGAAGCTCCATCCAAACCTGAAGCAGGCAGTTGGTGCATGTGTACAGTAACCTGAGTGGAGTGAGGTGACTGCTTCTGAGGAGAACATGAGCAGTCAAGATTCACCTTGGAGCTAGAACAGGGACGTGCACATGATTATACAGGGGCAGGGGCTCAAGTTTTTTCCAGTCGTTTAGACAATATGGAAATTAATGTGAAATTAAAAAACAAAGTATTAATAGAAAGGTAATGACTGTCCTGTGTAGGTGACAGTGATATCCAATAGGCTAGGCACTCACGAGGCTGGCTGTGGCAAGTGCAAGTGAAAGCCACACGCACTGGCAGGAAGAACAGCAAACGCCGATGAAGGAAAAGGGTCTTTGCAGTGATGGGCGTTACCAGAGAGGACGATGGCCAGAGGACGCGAATGGGACGGGGAGGCAGCGCGTTGGGGGGGGGGGCGCGACACAGCTCGGGCCCGCCAGTGCCCCAACGGGGCCCTAGTTATTATTATTTTTCCTCCGCTTTAAACTGGAAAATGGCCCACTTCCCACTGGCGAAAACTCAGGAAATTTGGCAGGACGACCGGGCCTGGTGAAAAATTCGATATTCTGAAGTCGCCCAAACAATAAAATACAAAATGGCTCCATAGCGCCCCCTAAGGTGAAAATTCACACTATTGACTGTCACGCCTGTACGCTTTGTCATATTGACACAAAAATTGACACACACATGTATCTCAATAAGATCTACAAAAAAGTCAGTGCGGGCGTATCTGTCAAATGTACGGTTAAAGGGTTATTTTGCATTTTTTGCAGATCCGCACACATTGGAATTTCGCTAACTCCTCCGAAGGCTTTCGGTCCACCGGCACCACATTTGCTCAGGCCAATCTACACTCCATGGCCATTCAAAGTTGTACAAATCATGATGCTGCACCCCATGGTTTAGGTTCTAGGGGGCGCCAAAAATAACCCTAAAATCCACATTCTTAAAAGTTTTATAACTTTTTATTTTTGCCCTCACTGGCCTCCAAGTTTTCTAGGATGATGCAATGTCCAGCCATCAACACATTTGTGAAGGAATTTTTACTCCCCAAAAGAGCGCCCCCCCATGGCAGGACAAAAAAGTCAATTTTTTCTTGTCCCCTAAGGTGAAAATACACATTGTTGAATGTCACGCCTGTACGCTTTGTCATATTGACACAAAATTTGACAATCACGTGTATCTCAATAAGATCTACGAAAAAGTCAATGCGCGCGTATCTGTAAAATGTACGGTTAAAGTGCTATTTCGCATTTTTTGCCGATTCGCACACATTGGAATGTGGCTAACTCCTCCTAAGGCTTTTGTCCCACTGACACCAAATTTGCTCAGGCCAATCTACACCCCATGGCCATTCAAAGTTGTAAAAATCATGACGCTGCACCCCATGGTCTACGTTCTAGGGGGCGCCAAAGAGGACCCAAATATCCACATTTTTAAAGTCTTATAACTTTTTATTTTTGTCCTCACTGGCCTCCAAGTTTTCTAGGATGATGCAATGTCCAGCCATCAACATATTTGTGAAGGAATTTTTTCTCCCCAAAAGAGCGCCCCCCCATGGCAGGAGAAAAAGTCAAGTTTTTCCTGCCCATCGCTCAATGGCTCAAACGCATCGCTCTCTCGGCAAAACCGAAAGGAGGAGCAACTTGCCATTTGGATATATACTAGCTGTGTTTGTGCCCTCACTCATGGTCCAGACTTTTTTCAAAAAGGACATGGAGTTTGTCTGCAGCGAGCGTTTTGGTAGAAACTGCGCCTCCCATTCATTATAATGGTAAATGACCACAGACAAGTGCGCACACCATCTTTGGACCTTGAGTGTGACGCGATCGGGAGGGGTAGGCGGTCGCGCTGGGGGCGGTGTGACACGGCTCGGGCCCGCCAGTGCCCCACCGGGGCCCTAGTTCTTTCTTTCTTTCTTTCTTCTTTTTCCTCCCCTTTGAACTGGAAAATGGCCCACTTCCCACTGGCGAAAACTCATGAAATTTGGCAGGACGACCGGGCCTGGTGAAAAATTCGATATTCTGAAGTCGCCCAAACATTAAAATGCAAAATGGCTCCATAGCGCCCCCTAAGGTGAAAATTCACACTATTGACTGTCACGCCTGTACGCTTTGTCATATTGACACAAAAATTGACACACATATGTATCTCAATAAGATCTACAAAAAAGTCAGTGCGGCCGTATCTGTCAAAATTACGGTTAAAGGGTTATTTCGCATTTTTTGCCGATCCGCACACATTGGAATTTCGCTAACTCCTCCGAAGGCTTTCGTTCCACCGGCACCACATTTGCTCAGGCCAATCTACACCCCGTGGCCATTAAAAGTTATCAAAATCATGATGCTGCACCCCAAGGTTTAGGTTCTAGGGGGCGCCAAAGATAACACTAAAATCCACATATTTAAAAGTCTTATAACTTTTTATTTTTGTCCTCACTGGCCTCCAAGTTTTCTAGGATGATGCAATGTCCAGCCATCAACACATTTGTGAAGGAATTTTTACTCCCCAAAAGAGCGCCCCCCCATGGCAGGAGAAAAAAGTCCATTTTTTCTTGTCCCCTAAGGTGAAAATACATATTGTTGAGATTCACGCCTATACGCTTTGTCATATTGACACAAAATTTGACAATCACGTGCCTTGCCTGGTATCATTTTTTTCAGCACAACCTCACCTGTGCGAATTTACAGTTATTTTATCATGTTGACATACTGAATTTACACAATGGACCCAAATTCACACACAAAACATAAAATCTGAGTGGAAAAAAGTAACATTTTTACTGTGAAAACCACAAATATGTGTGATGAACTGTTTTTAAAACTTAAACTTCAAATAAAAATTGTAAACTTCAAAACATATGCAAATTTTTAACAAAGAACATAGTTATTTACCTCTATTTACATCAAAATGCAGGCAATGGCCCAGGCGTTCTTTGTAAAATTATTTACAAAACACTGTATAGTCTCACAAATGTCACTTTTTATTTATGCCACTACAAAAAAACATGATGTAAATGATGCATGATGTAAAACATGATGTAAAAAACTTGTGTAGATCCTCCTCTATGTCAGTCCATGTGTAATTTTTCCATAATTCTTTGTTTTTTGCAGCATTTTTGTTAGTGTAACTGCAGATTGTGCTGACAGTGTCTATGGCAAAAAAAAAAAAAAAAAAAACTGAAAATGCCTCAACATGAACCCCTGGTGGTCTCTGAGGGTGAAACCTGCTAACTGCTGCAGCTCTGTCAGCTTCAGTCTCCCATGCAGAGCTCGGAGCGCATGTGTGGCTCTGCACCCTTAGCAGCGTTGCTAACTCCTCAGTAAGGAAAGCCTGCTTCATGTCAGAGTCTCTAAACTCCAGAAGAAGTCGATAAAAGTCACTTTCTTTCTAAAAAAAAAGTCGTTAGGGGGTCTGAAAAGTCATTGAATCTAACAACAAAGTCGCTAGGTTTGCAACTACGTGTCCCAGACTGCATCCCTGCTGAGAGTCCCTCCCTCCCTTCTCATATTGCAGGAAGAACGTAAGCGCCCGCCCCTTGTCAATCAGTCACCATATAATTTTGGATTGGTTGTTGTGGTGAAGTTTTCCACCAATAGGAGAGATGTTGTGGTGTGTTTTTTTTTTTCCTTTGGCAAGCCTTTTCCGCCTGTAAGACCTGTCGCTAATGTCTGCATGCTATGTTTTCCTGTCTCATACAGCGCGATCGAGCGCCGAACGTGATCAAAATAAGCAGAAAACAAGTATCGCGGACATAATTTATCATAACTCTGGTTTTATTTGGCCTATCAACACAATTTAAAAACTGGTATATAGGTTGAGGTCCTCACTTTTGAGATAAGTTGAAACGGAGTCAACGAGGCTCCGTCTTGCAGCTACATCCGGTTAAATATGTCATGTGACTTGAACGCACACACACACACACACACACACACACACACACAGACACACACACACACGCACACACACACACTCAGAGTCTGGTTTTTAGCACCTGCAAAAACATGCTATTTACATATTTGACAAGAATGCAGAGGCTCCTTTTGCCCCTGAAAAAAAACAAATTTCAAACACAACTTGACTGGTCATTTCTCCAAAAGACAACCATGAAGCTCCATCCAAACCTGAAGCAGGCAGTTGGTGCATGTGTACAGTAACCTGAGGGGAGTGAGGTGACTGCTTCTGAGGAGAACATGAGCAGTGAAGATTCACCTTAGAGCTAGAACAGAGACGTGCACATGATTATACAGGGGCAGGGGCTCAAGTTTTTTCCAGTCGTTTATACAATATGGAAATTAATGTGAAATTAAAACACAAAGTATTAATAGAAAGGTAATGACTGTCCTGTGTAGGTGACAGTGATATCCAATAGGCTAGGCACTCACGAGGCTGGCTGTGGCAAGTGTAAGTGAAAGCAACACGCACTGGCAGGAAGAACAGCAAACGCCGATGAAGGAAAAGGGTCTTTGCAGTGATGGGCGTTACCAGAGAGGGCGATGGCCAGAGGACACAAATGGGACGGGGAGGCAGCACGTTGCGGGGGGGACGCGACACGGCTCGGGCCCGCCAGTGCCCCAACGGGGTCCTAGTTAGGGCCCGAGCCAGCTGCAGAGCAGCCGGGCGTAGGCCCTATTATTCCCCAAGTGGTTTTTCTTTGTTTCTTTCTTTCTTTTTTAGGGCCCGAGCGTAGCTGCTAAGCAGCTGCGAGAGCCCTATTATTCCCCAAGTGGTTTTTCTTTGTTTCTTTCTTTCTTTCTTTCTTTCTTTCTTCTTTTTCCTCCCCTTTGAACTGGAAAATGGCCCACTTCCCACTGGCGAAAACTCATGAAATTTGGCAGGACGACCGGGCCTGGTGAAAAATTCGATATTCTGAAGTCGCCCAAACAATAAAATGCAAAATGGCTCCATAGCGCCTCCTAAGGTGGAAATTCACACTATTGACTGTCACGCCTGTACGCTTTGTCATATTGACACAAAAATTGACACACATATGTATCTCAATAAGATCTACAAAAAAGTCAGTGCGGCCGTATCTGTCAAATGTACGGTTAAAGGGTTATTTCGCATTTTTTCCGATCCACACACATTGGAATTTCGCTAACTCCTCCGAAGGCTTTCGTTCCACCGGCACCACATTTGCTCAGGCCAATCTACACCCCGTGGCCATTAAAAGCTATCAAAATCATGACGCTGCACCCCAAGGTTTAGGTTCTAGGGGGCGCCAAAGATAACACTAAAATCCACATATTTAAAAGTCTTATAACTTTTTATTTTTGTCCTCACTGGCCTCCAAGTTTTCTAGGATGATGCAATGTCCAGCCATCAACACATTTGTGAAGGAATTTTTACTCCCCAAAAGAGCGCCCCCCCATGGCAGGAGAAAAAAGTCCATTTTTTCTTGTCCCCTAAGGTGAAAATACACATTGTTGAGTGTCACGCCTGTACGCTTTGTCAAAATGACAAAAAAATTGACACACACATGTAACTCAATAAGATCTACGAAAAAGTCAATGCGTGCGTATCTGTCAAATGTACGGTTAAAGGGTTATTTCGCATTTTTTGCCGATCTGCACACATTGGAATTTCGCTAACTCCTCCGAAGGCTTTCGTTCCACCGGCACCACATTTGCTCAGGCCAATCTACACCCCGTGGCCATTAAAAGTTATCAAAATCATGACGCTGCACCCCAAGGTTTAGGTTCTAGGGGGCGCCAAAGATAACACTAAAATCCACATATTTAAAAGTCTTATAACTTTTTATTTTTGTCCTCACTGGCCTCCAAGTTTTCTAGGATGATGCAATGTCCAGCCATCAACACATTTGTGAAGGAATTTTTACTCCCCAAAAGAGCGCCCCCCCATGGCAGGAGAAAAAAGTCCATTTTTTCTTGTCCCCTAAGGTGAAAATACACATTGTTGAGTGTCACGCCTATACGCTTTGTCAAAATGACAAAAAAATTGACACACACATGTAACTCAATAAGATCTACGAAAAAGTAAATGCGCGCGTATCTGTCAAATGTACGGTTAAAGGGTTATTCCGCATTTTTTGCCGATCCGCACACATTGGAATGTGGCTAACTCCTCCTAAGGCTTTCGTTCCACCGGCACCACATTTGCTCAGGCCAATCTACACCCCATGGCCATTAAAAGTTATCAAAATCATGACGCTGCACCCCACGGTTTAGGTTCTAGGGGGCGCCAAAGATAACCCTAAAATCCACATATTTAAAAGTCTTATAACTTTTTATTTTTGTCCTCACTGGCCTCCAAGTTTTCTAGGATGATGCAATGTCCAGCCATCAACACATTTGTGAAGGAATTTTTACTCCCCAAAAGAGCGCCCCCCCATGGCAGGAGAAAAAAGTCCATTTTTTCTTGTCCCCTAAGGTGAAAATACATATTGTTGAGATTCACGCCTATACGCTTTGTCATATTGACACAAAATTTGACAATCACGTGCCTTGCCTGGTATCATTTTTTTCAGCACAACCTCACCTGTGCGAATTTACAGTTATTTTATCATGTTGACATACTGAATTTACACAATGGACCCAAATTCACACACAAAACATAAAATCCGAGTGGAAAAAAGTAACATTTTTACTGTGAAAACCACAAATATGTGTGATGAACTGTTTTTAAAACTTAAACTTCAAATAAAAATTGTAAACTTCAAAACATATGCAAATTTTTAACAAAGAACATAGTGATTTACCTCTATTTACATCAAAATGCAGGCAATGGCCCAGGCGTTCTTTGTAAAATTATTTACAAAACACTGTATAGTCTCACAAATGTCACTTTTTATTTATGCCACTACAAAAAAACATGATGTAAATGATGCATGATGTAAAACATGATGTAAAAAACTTGTGTAGATCCTCCTGTATGTCAGTCCATGTGTAATTTTTCCATAATTCTTTGTTTTTTTGCAGCATTTTTGTTAGTGTAACTGCAGATTGTGCTGACAGTGTCTATCGCACAAAAAAAAAAAAAATTAAAATGCCTCAACATGAACCCCTGGTGGTCTCTGAGGGTGAAACCTGCTAACTGCTGCAGCTCTGTCAGCTTCAGTCTCCCATGCAGAGCTCTGAGCGCATGTGTGGCTCTGCACCCTTAGCAGCGTTGCTAACTCCTCAGTAAGGAAAGCCTGCTTCATGTCAGAGTCTCTAAACTCCAGAAGAAGTCGATAAAAGTCCCTTTCTTTCTAAAAAAAAGTCGTTAGGGGGTCTGAAAAGTCATTGAATCTAACAACAAAGTCGCTAGGTTTGCAACTACGTGTCCCAGACTGCATCCCTGCTGAGAGTCCCTCCCTCCCTTCTCATGTTGCAGGAAGAACGTAAGCGCCCGCCCCTTGTCAATCAGTCACCATATAATTTTGGATTGGTTGTTGTGGTGAAGTTTTCCACTAATAGGAGAGATGTTGTGGTGTGTTTTTTTTTTCTTTTGGCAAGCCTTTTCCGCCTGTAAGAGCTGTCGCTAATGTCTGCATGCTATGTTTTCCTGTCTCATACAGCGCGATCGAGCGCCGAACGTGATCAAAATAAGCAGAAAAAAAGTATCGCGGACATAATTTATCATAACTCTGGTTTTATTTGGCCTATCAACACAATTTAAAAACTGGTATATAGGTTGAGGTCCTCACTTTTGAGATAAGTTGAAACGGAGAGTCAACGAGGCTCCGTCTTGCAGCTACATCCGGTTAAATATGTCATGTGACTTGAACGCACACACAGACACACACACGCACACACACACACACACACACACACACTCAGAGTCTGGTTTTTAGCACCTGCAAAAACATGCTATTTACATATTTGACAAGAATGCAGAGGCTCCTTTTGCCCCTGAAAAAAATCAAATTTCAAACACAACTTGACTGGTCATTTCTCCAAAAGACAACCATGAAGCTCCATCCAAACCTGAAGCAGGCAGTTGGTGCATGTGTACAGTAACCTGAGGGGAGTGAGGTGAGTGCTTCTGAGGAGAACATGAGCAGTGAAGATTCACCTTGGAGCTAGAACAGAGACATGCACATGATTATACAGGGGCAGGGGCTCAAGTTTTTTCCAGTCGTTTATACAATATGGAAATTAATGTGAAATTAAAACACAAAGTATTAATAGAAAGGTAATGACTGTCCTGTGTAGGTGACAGTGATATCGAATAGGCTAGGCACTCACGAGGCTGGCTGTGGCAAGTGTAAGTGAAAGCAACACGCACTGGCAGGAAGAACAGCAAACGCCGATGAAGGAAAAGGGTCTTTGCAGTGATGGGCGTTACCAGAGAGGGCGATGGCCAGAGGACACAAATGGGACGGGGAGGCAGCACGTTGGGGGGGGACGCGACACGGCTCGGGCCCGCCAGTGCCCCAACGGGGTCCTAGTTCTTTTTCCTCCCCTTTGAACTGGAAAATGGCCCACTTCCCACTGGCGAAAACTCATGAAATTTGGCAGGACGACCGGGCCTGGTGAAAAATTTGATATTCCGAAGTCGCCCAAACAAGAAAATGCAAAATGGCTCCATAGCGCCCCCTAAGGTGGAAATTCACACTATTGACTGTCACGCCTGTACGCTTTGTCAAAATGACACAAAAATTGACACACACATGTATCTCAATAAGATCTACAAAAAAGTCAGTGCGGGCGTATCTGTCAAAATTACGGTTAAAGGGTTATTTTGCATTTTTTGCCGATCCGCACACATTGGAATTTCGCTAACTCCTCCGAAGGCTTTCGTTCCACCGGCACCACATTTGCTCAGGCCAATCTACACCCCGTGGCCATTAAAAGTTATCAAAATCATGACGCTGCACCCCAAGGTTTAGGTTCTAGGGGGCGCCAAAGATAACACTAAAATCCACATATTTAAAAGTCTTATAACTTTTTATTTTTGTCCTCACTGGCCTCCAAGTTTTCTAGGATGATGCAATGTCCAGCCATCAACACATTTGTGAAGGAATTTTTACTCCCCAAAAGAGCGCCCCCCCATGGCAGGAGAAAAAAGTCCATTTTTTCTTGTCCCCTAAGGTGAAAATACACATTGGTGAGTGTCACACCTGTACGCTTTGTCAAAATGACACAAAAATTGACACACACATGTAACTCAATAAGATCTACGAAAAAGTCAACGCGCGCGTATCTGTCAAATGTACGGTTAAAGGGTTATTCCGCATTTTTTGCCGATCCGCACACATTGGAATGTGGCTAACTCCTCCTAAGGCTTTCGTTCCACCGGCACCACATTTGCTCAGGCCAATCTACACCCCATGGCCATTAAAAGTTATTCAAATCATGACGCTGCACCCCACGGTTTAGGTTCTAGGGGGCGCCAAAGATAACCCTAAGATCCACATATTTAAAAGTCTTATAACTTTTTATTTTTGCCCTCACTGGCCTCCAAGTTTTCTAGGATGATGCAATGTCCAGCCATCAACACATTTGTGAAGGAATTTTTACTCCCCAAAAGAGCGCCCCCCCATGGCAGGAGAAAAAAGTCCATTTTTTCTTGTCGCCTAAGGTGAAAATTCACATTGTTGAGTGCTACGCCTGTATGTTTTGTCATATTGACACAAAATTTGACATACACGTGTATTTCAATAAGATCTACGAAAAAGTCAATGCGCGCGTATCTGTCAAATGTACGGTTAAAGGGTTATTCCGCATTTTTTGCCGATCCGCACACATTGGAATTTCGCTAACTCCTCCGAAGGCTTTCGTTTCACCGGCACCACATTTGCTCAGGCCAATCTACACCCCATGGCCATTAAAAGTTATTCAAATCATGACGCTGCACCCCACGGTTTAGGTTCTAGGGGGCGCCAAAGATAACCCTAAAATCCACATATTTAAAAGTCTTATAACTTTTTATTTTTGTCCTCACTGGCCTCCAAGTTTTCTAGGATGATGCAATGTCCAGCCATCAACACATTTGTGAAGGAATTTTTACTCCCCAAAAGAGCGCCCCCCCATGGCAGGAGAAAAAAGTCCATTTTTTCTTGTCCCCTAAGGTGAAAATACACATTGGTGAGTGTCACACCTGTACGCTTTGGCATATTGACACAAAATTTGACAATCACGTGTATCTCAAAAAGATCTACGAAAAAGTCAATGCGCGTATCTGTCAAATGTACGGTTAAAGGGCTATTTTGCATTTTTTGCCGATCCGCACACATTGGAATTTCGCTAACTCCTCCTAAAGCTTTCGTCCCATCGGCACCAAATTTGCTCAGGCCAATCTACACCCCATGGCCATTCAAAGATGTAAAAATCATGCTGCTGCACCCCACGGTTTACGTTCTAGGGGGCGCCAAAGATAACCCAAAAATCCACATTTTCAAAAGTCTTATAACTTTTTATTTTTGTCCTCACTGGCCTCCAAGTTTTCTAGGATAATGCAATGTTCAGCCATCAACACATTTGTGAAGGAATTTTTACTCCCCAAAAGAGCGCCCCCCCATGGCAGGAGAAAAAGTCAAGTTTTTCCTGCCCATCGCTCAATGGCTTAAACGCATCGCTCTCTCGGCAAAACCGAAAGGAGGAGCAACTTGCCATTTGGATATATCCTTGCTGTGTTTGTGCCCTCATTCATGGTCCAGACTTTTTTCAAATAAGACATGGAGTTTTTCTGCAGCGAGCGTTTTGGTAGAAACTGCGCCTCCCACTCATTATAATGGGAAATGACCACAGACAAGTGCGCACACCATCTTTGGACCTTGAGTGTGCCGCGATCGGAAGGGGGGGGCTGTCGTGCTGGGGACGACACAACATGGCTCGGGCCCGCCAGTGCCCCACCGGGGCCCTAGTTGAATCTATTTCTTTCCTTTCTACCCCTTACACTTTTTGTTTTTTTTTACTTTTTGTGCAAAAATTTTAACATTGAAGTCAATGGGGAAATCTTCCACTTCTTCCTTTTATTTTTCCACCTTCAAAGCCTTTTAACTTCAGCATACTTTCACCTAGAGACCTAATTTTTGCTTTAGATTGTTCATTGTCTGGTCGACTATTAGTGTTGTACTCAGTTTTTTGATATCTTTTACAGTTTTCCCACAATTTAGCTTTAAGCAACTCGTGGTTTTCAGCAAATTTCAGGCTTTATAATGGGGGAGTATTGGAGAGGCTAGAGTGTGTAATTTAAAAGCTAGAATGGACAGCTCCTCTTTTTTCGACAGAACCTCACTCGAATATATCGCTCCCACGCCCACAAATTTCACTTCACAGCCATAAAAAATACATCAAAATGGAGGTATATGTGCTGCTTCTCACAAAAGAGGTTTCAAATCATTAAATCATACCCATTGGCCAGCTGGTGACCAACTGTCCAAAAAAGGCAAAGAATCCTGGCATTGGCCCTAATGTAATTTTTCTCCAAGAAAATCCTGATCGTTACTCAGGCTCAGACTTTCTTAACTCGCTGCTGTGGCCACATTTTTTGGAGTACAGACATGAAAAACACATCATTGTGTTCATGAAGAGCGGAGGATTCGTACAATGTTCTTATTTTCATTCTGGGATTTAAGGAAATCATGCTATGTGAAGAAGTTCAGAGGCCCTAAATTCACTGCAGTCAGGCAGCTTCTCATTGAAACAGTAGGTCAGTTATACCTTTGATGTCTAACACCTGTTAAGAAGGCTTTAATTAACAGACACACACACACTTTGACAATGTGTGTGCCTTAGTCTCTCTCTCTGTCTATGACACATGCATGTACACACAGTTAATATGTATGTGCATGAGTGTCTCTCAGTCTATGAGACCTACTTGCACACACTTTGACCATGTGTCTGCTTCACCTCCTATTTTCTCCCACAAACTTTGAGCTACAAAAACCATTATGGGCTCCAGAAATTCAGCTCATGAAGGACACAATGGCATGTATTCAGGATTTTGGTAATAAATTGTATCAATTCAGAGGATGAGCATCAGGGCCTACTCGGAGAGCTGTTTCCTTAGCTTCAAGCCTCCTCTCTCCTGCTGTAGTGATGCTTCTACCTTCACCATGGCAACCAATCAGTGCACCTGAAGACACACAGCTGACTGGAAAGCTGCTTCTAACGGTCATATGAGACACATGAAGCCAGACTCAGTACACAGCCAATTGGTGATTCATATTACCACTGAACTTTGACCGTGTGTGCATTACATTCTTTGTGTTGGTAAGAGCTACTCACACACACACATTACTTCTAATTGTAACATCGCTTTTACTCGTACTTCCACTTTTACCACTACTTCTGCTACTACAATAACTACTAACATTTCTTTAACTAGTACTCCACTTTTAATACTTTTACTACTACCATTTATACCACCAGTACTTCTACCACTTCTACAACTACTATGACCACTTCTACGACTACAACTACCACTTCCACTACTACTCCACTCTATCCTTTTCCCCAATTTTTTACACCTCCCACATCTCCTTCTATTCTAAAACCACTATAAGTACTATGACAAGTACTACAGCTAATATGACTACTACAGGGCTCTCAAGTCTCACGCATTCAGCGTGTGACACACGCATTCCCACCCGTTCACACGCTCACACGCCACACATTGTATTTCTCACACATTTAAATGAACATGGTGATGTCCACCAAGTTGCACCTCTTTAACTATGGAACAGGTATAAATCAACTGAGTCCCTCCGAGAGTTCAGAAGCTGCTTGCCATGTGCAAGCCAATCAAATGAAGTATATCTACTGAACAGCCAATCAAAAAGCAGCATTGCTGTATCCGGGAAGATTTTGATATCTTGCGGTTTGACTACAAAAGAAGACAGGCACTCACCGAAATAGAGCAGGTTTTTATAAGGACGAGATAGACCCTATGATCACAGTAAGTCAGTAACCTACACATGCAGAGGCCTCAAGACTTTATGGCACATAAACTCATACGATAAACTAAAGCCGTATGCTATTGCTATTAACAGCTGCATTGATTAATTTAGCCTCTGTACAGCCATTTCCAGCCATTTCTCATATATTCTTTTTAAGTTCTGATACTCATGACAGTGTAACGCTCATGTACCAAAGGATTAAGTATCTCCAAGTTTGTGAAACCTATACTGAAGTACAATTCATCTAAATGCTCCACAGTGCTGATTTTAACAACTCTCCTCCACAACAGGTAACTTTACGACTTTATTCTTATATATCAATAACTTTATGGTCTAAGATTTAAAAACGTTTTTTTTTCTGAATGTGGCCCTCATACTCCATTGTATTTAAGAGATTATTGTACTAATAATAATCTTCAATTATTTCCCACAATGTGTTGATTAAGTCAACCACTGTGTTAACCACTTTCCTGTCAAGTGAAGTGTGAGATTTCCGAGTGTCCCCAAATGCCTCAAACATTTCTACCGGGACTCCGCCTTGGCTCGCGCTATCCTGCTGCATCTTACAGAAGGGCAAGTCAGAGCTGAGTCTCTGTCAACGTCTAAACATTAAAAATCGGGATTTAACCTTTCAAAATGGCACTGGTTTGACTTATTATCAACGAAGAGTTCATTCATGATTCAAGTGGTTTTCGAATGACTTGAAAAAGCTTACGCTAACGGCGTTAGCGTCGAGCTAGCGGCGCTAGCCGCGTTAGCGTCGTTAGCGTTGAGCTAACGCTAAAGCTAACATATTGTCATTTATGGGGCTGGATCATTAGCCAACTGAGAAATGCACAAAATAAAGGGAATATGTAAGCCGCCGCGGTACCATACAGCATGCCAACTGGTGTGCAGTTTGTAGAATTTACTGACATTTGGACTGACGGGGACCGAATATTGTCAAATATTAACTTACTACTGAAGCTAGCGCTGTTGCTACAGGTAATAGACTGTTCAATACTGTGACTGAGTCATAGCTTGGGAAGTGGTCTGGAGGCGTCAGCTGTTTAGCTCCTGGTCACTTTTTATCAGCCATTGTAGATGTATTAAAAAAAATAGGCTGCTTTTAGCAAGCATCCAGGTATAGCACAAATGTGAGTGGTTTTTCTTTTTTTATGTGTCAGAATGACACTAGATGGTCCTCTATTATTGAAGGTTTTGTTCATGATGGGGTTGATAGAGATATTTGCATTGCAGACCATAAAATTTATTCAATATTTAATGTTTAACAATATGAAGTTCTAATTAACACATATAAATTCCTGTTGGATTTCCCTTTAGGGATCAATAAAGTTCTTATCTTAATATTGAGTTAATGGATAGATAGTAAGTGTTATGTTATCGTTTTAGAGATAAGGAAAACTACTAGAGCTTGAATGAAGAATGCTTCCTTAAAATATAATGCAGGAGATAAACAGTACAGTGTCTCAACATGTAGGCTCATTTGCATAGACTTCCTGGGCATTTCCCGGGCACACATCGTATTTGTCTCATCCCCGGACGTCCCATCACGTGACATCCATATTTACCCTCTATTGCCAGAATTGCATTGCACCACATCCCCCCCCTATAATTTGAAAAAACTTTTTGGCTGTACCTCTTTTCAAGTCTCAAAGAAAATCTGTTAACGCCTGAAGATTCACAATAAACATGAAACATTACCAAGAGATATTTCTTTTGTCCATAACCAAAATATGCATTTTACACATCTGTCCATAACCAAAATATGCATTTTACATACCTACCCCCTTCCCAAAAGGAAAATCAGCAATCACTATAGCATCCTCATGTTTTTTTTCAAAGAGAAATTCTATGCAAACAGTAAACAAAAATCACCAGCATGGTTACTTTTTTTACATTTTACCTTTCAAATAGCAAGGGGGAGGCGGGGGGGTGTCGACAGAATCAGCTGGCGCAGTGACATTTTCGTGCTCGCCACCGGCGTGTAAAGTGCGCTGAAAGCTCGCCGATTCAAACCTGGTCAGCTTTCAGCGCAAGGCGAAACGCAGCTGGTCTAGTAGTATTTTGGTAGACCGGCGGCGTATCGACATACGTCACTGATGCCTCACCGGCAGGTTTCCACAGTGTCAGGCGCATTTCAGTGCAATAAATAATCATCATCAACTATTAATCTGAGTCAGCACATACATTTAGATCTATATTGATATATTCTGATCTATATGTGATCTGATGAGCGCGTTTGGCACGCGTTTGGACACACAACCTGACCGAATCAACACAGCTGAAACCGCATTAAATTAAATTAAATATCCAGTAAATATACACACATGATGAAGTTAACAAGATATGTAATTCGTCTCCCTCCTTTTCTTTCTTCCTCTTCCTCTTATTTCTCGCACAGCTCGACCTGGATATGTGTCTGTGTCCTCTCTCTGTGCGGCGGCGGCTGAACAGATGATTTGTTTCAGTGCTCAGATGAGTTATTTACTTTAAGCCTACATACGAATATTATAATATTTAGTTTTGTGAACCAAATTTATTTTATATGCCAACATCTATGAAAGAGAGAGC